TCAGAGGGCTAGAAATCCTGCTTGAAAATGCTGGAAATTGAGTACTTTTTCTAGAATTGTGTGATCATTGATGTGATTTGATCATTGCACGAAGTGATCATTTCAATTAGCTAAAAACCCTTCTTTTTTTACTTCATTTTTCAAATCCGCGAACTTTGTGGAAAACAGGGCTCCATATTTTCGGCCCGCTGGCTCTTGTGGTCCGAACTGAACCAGTGCTCGAGATTTTTCGGACTGAAAAGGCTACATTGTCCGGAAATGACATCGAGCGAAACCCATCCATTTCCAGAAAAATTGGCACCGTAATGATCAGTATCGTTTAGGAAAACAACTATCTAACTTTTAATCACTTCTTACGCGACACAGTACATTATTCGATTCCTGAATGATTTAATTCCCAACGATTGCCCCCTGGTTACAATTATAGCGAGACTCGCTCGCTAACGAGTATCCTCGGGTACTTCGATAGGGAGCAGTGATAAATTTTCGACTTTCGGCCCTAGTTCTCATTTTACCACTACAATCTTTGATTTAAGTTTTTGTTATCTGCTGCGACAGTGTCCTTTACGCATATTCCCTTAGCTCATTTAGCCCATCTACAACAAACCATTTTTCTTCCTCTTACAAGTATTTGTACTCACTCCTGTTATATCCTTCCTTCATTTTTCCTGTACAATTCCTTCTCATCTTTATTGCATGAATTTTGCATGTCAACTTTTTTTACATTTTTTCTTTTATCCTATTCCTTTACTCCTTCCCCTATGTAGTCCATGTCCATGTCGTCAACCCTGTCGCACTGACGAGCCCGGGGGTTGGTAAGACATCGATGATTCGTCTGCGATAACGGGCGAAACGGATCATCTGTGCTGTGTATTCCTTTCCCCAATGTTTGTTTTTCTTTGTTTCTATTTTCCAGTTTTTCAGACTGCTATCCTATAGAGCTCGACGAGCTCAGTCTAACCGTGTAGGATTCTATATGAGTAAAGTTCACACAAACTGAGTTATAGCCTATAGCGGAATCGGACCGGTTTTCAGGAAGAAGCTGATGACCTACTTACCGAAATTCGAGGGTCATACACCGTCAGGACTCGCACACGCAGAGACAAATCTAAACGTGTCTTTTGCTTCTCCCATAACCCTTTTTTTGAAAGAAGTTATGGCCCTGCGGCGCGGTGCTCTGCGGCGGTCTGCGGCGGATTAATCCGCCTCTTTTCCAAGAATTAGGGGCGGTATTGTATGCAGGCCGTCTACATGATTACCGACGTCTCTTAATGCCTAATTCTGTCCAGGTTAGCCCCAGTCGTAGGCTTCAGGAAACTTCCTTCAGTGTAGTGATGTTGGCCACTACAGTTCTTGCCCAAGGCCAGCACTGAATTGAGTATTTGTTACACAAGTGGAAACTGTGGAACCGTTCGCCGCGGCCTCGTCTGAAGTGCTACATGAACATCTCAGCGCTTATGTCATTCACTCTAGAGCGAATGCCCATTCATAGGCTTTTTTACAGGTCTTTCCTTTCACTCAAAATTTTCCAAAGCCCTTTTTCATCCTTTGAGTTCAGTGTTGCCTGCTTAGTTATCGTTTGCTGTCTGTCAATTCTGTACCCATTTCTTCGAGCTTCGTTATGTTCAATATCTTCAGACAGGAGAATAGGAAAGGCAGATAACAATCCGTAGTTCACCTATCTGACTCCTCTGAATCTCACTTCCTCAATGTGTTGCGTGCACCCCCCTCCGTTAGGCCACGGCAACACAGCCACGCACCAACTCCGCTCCGCCCCGCCCTTTCGCCATCTTGAATAATACGTAGCATCTTATTTGGTGGCGCCAGAAACTCCGTCCCCACCTCACCCAACCCCCAAAAACGACCGAGGTCCCCCGTCAGAGTGCGACTCGGCGTTGTGTGGCCAACTCCCTACTATCGACTGTCCTGCCCACCCCCTTTTCATGTATACAGGGGAGCCAAAAAAACCTGTCACTTGGACCGAGTCACATACAGCAAGGTTTCCGCTGCCCAGGCAGAGGACGTGGATACGAGTACCAGGGCGAAAGATACCCAAGATGTTCCTCTATAAGCAGAGCTGGCTCTCGCCCATCACCTTCATGTACACCAAAATATGAAGTCATCTCCAGTCGCAGCCTGACTGGAGAAGACCTTTGGAATTCATGTCACCTCCAAACAGCTGCGAAACTTCTAGTATGGAGTCACCTAGGGATAGCTACCTGGAGACCAGTACTCTCGACCTGGATGACCTCCAACATCGAGCAGCTCTGACAACGCCGCCACGGTCTTGGACATCATCTTCACCGCAGTCGATGGTATGGACCGGACGTACCTGGAATGGAAAGTACCAATATTTTTCGTGGACCCCTGACTGAAGGTGAGCGTCGCTAGCGCATTGAGCAAGCTCGTGAGAACATTCTCTCACTGTGTGTCGCACCGTTACCTTCCTTGAAAACTTTGTAACTGCTACACACTCAGATCGCTCCCACCACTGAAAATCGAAGGACATTGGAGAAACACTCGCCTACCTGGAACGGAAGGGGGCTGAGTAGCTAAAAAAGATGGAATATCCAAGTAGGTCACCTAACCTGAATACCCTCAATTACCCGGTTCGGGCGGAGTTCAATAGGGTGGTCTACGGTGGCGGAGAAATCGACTATCTCGCTGATCTCAGGCACCACATCGCGGTCGCGTGCCAGAATCTCTCGATGGCGCTCGTCCAGAAGGCTGTGGCGGAGTGTCGTGATAGTATTTGATATGCTCTTCAATATGGTGGTAAAAATGTCCGATCAGAATTTAATAAAGTGTTAACTTATAGCGCCTCGAAAGTCAATGAAGAAAAGTGACTTTTTTTGCCCCCCCCGTACATGACTGGTAGCTCTCGCCCGCGATAATATAATTTCTCACAAATATTCAGAAGCATGGGTGTCTTTGAGGACCCTCTTTGCATTTCTTCTGCCCTCCTCCCTTCCTTGGTATAAAAAGGTAACGCTATAAGTCACATTCAGGCCCCAATATTCACAAGCAGCACTAATAGATGTGTCTTCAAGCGTGAAAATAAGTATCCGTCAAAAATTGTTTGTCGATCCATGGCATACTCTATGGCGATGTAATACTGCTAATAGTGGGACTGGAGATAGGGTGTACACGATTGATTATTGAATACATCCGGGGGGGGTGGGGCGAATACTCTGGAGCATTAACGAGTTCGTTGATACCTGCTTAGAATACTCTAACAATGCTCAAGGTTTATTGCCCAAACCCATTCAGAAGGATAGAAAATAAGCTTCCATCGTGGATCGCCCGACGTTGGTCAAATGCGACACACCTTACAGGTTATCCTCGCAAATGGGAGAGCCGTGTAAGGGTCCATTTACTAGAGCGCAATGAGGTTGGTCATTCCCACCAATTGATGTCATCTTGAACTATCACAAGAATGCTGAGTTGTGGGCAAAAGTCGGACCACGGGCGGGACTCGAACCCGCATCTTCTGCTTACCGGGCAGTTGCGTTACCACTTACGCTACCGGGGCCACTTTGACCTCTCAGCTCAATGGCTATTTGTGCCATTGCCTTTTAGCACTCACACGTTTCAACGTGATGAGCCGGTTAGCCGATATCGGCAGTGAACCGCAAGGCTGAAGGCTTTTTACAAGTTTTAGACTGTTTTTGTTTTGATAACTGCTGTTTTACGCCGCAGTGCGCGATACGAAAGTTATCACAAGAATGCTGAGTTGTGGGCAAAAGTCGGACCGGGCGGGACTCGAACCCGCATCTTCTGCTTACCGGGCAGTTGCGTTACCACTTACGCTACCGGGGCCACTTTTGACCTCATCACGTTGAACGTGTGAGTGCTCGAAGGCAATGGCACAAATAGCCATTGAGCTGAGAGGTCAAAAGTGGCCCCGGTAGCGTAAGTGGTAACGCAACTGCCCGGTAAGCAGAAGATGCGGGTTCGAGTCCCGCCCGTGGTCCGACTTTTGCCCACAACTCAGCATTCTTGTGATAACTTTCGTATCGCGCACTGCGGCGTAAAACAGCAGTTATCAAAACAAAAAAACATCTTGACACTTCCCACTAAGAGTGTTGGAAAGGAATGCTCTAGCTGCTGCCCAAAACGTATCCTGGTTTTTCAGGGATTCCGTATCACAGATAAATTCGCTAACAATTGAGCAATCACGTAGTGATGGAGGAATTCTCTGGTCAAGACTAAAGTTGAGCCAAAGTTCGATCCCTGAACAGTCCCAATGTCGGGAAAAGCCTTTTTTCATAGTGTACCCAGTAGGTCCACCTTTCTGTAATGATTTGTGGAGGGAAGCTGCAGAGGCCAGCCTCTGGGACTGCTCTATCTTGTTCGCACGACGTGACTAAGCCGGTCCGAAAACTTGCTATTTCTCCACTCACGAGTGCGGGAAACGGTTGGAGGGTGGACACCCATGTACTGTATTCAAACCCTTCCCGCGCTGCCCCAGTCAGTCTCCAAAGGCCATGGTCAGGAGGCGGGGCAGCAGCTCAAGGGTCATTGGTGGGAGGGTGTACGGCCTTTTACTCAAGATGCATTGTGACTCGAAGCTCCTCTGCACCTCCTGGGGTCCGAATGCCCTCCTCCTCGCAGGTGAACCCTTTGAACAGCAATTTTCTGTTAGATGCCTCATTCCCTTTCACTCAACAGATGCTTTTACCAACACGAAGTGGTATCTGGTATCTAAGCCAAATTTGCCTGTTTTTCTTAAGTTCTCTGTCATAGAGTACCATACATTCACTGCAAGAGAAGATATCAATCGAAACTTCATTCACAGAAAAACCGCCTTTGCTCTTACCATTAGCATTTATTACAAAGGCATGATTGCAAGCGGCTGATCAAACGAGGGGCACTAGAGATCAGAATTAAGAACTGAAAGCCATCATTATCGCACAAGCAGAGCACCCATTCTCAATCCCTGCCTCCTTCCTGTACATATCCTTTCATATAGGTCCAATGTGATCAGAGCTGTGTCGCTGTTATTGATACTCTTTTGATGTGTGAAGGTCCTGAAATAGTACAAATCAAAATTGATGATGCAGGACAGCAAATGGCTCCTCAGTTTTCTTACGAAGACAATGAGATTGCCATAACAGAAACTCACTCCCTGTAGATGATGAGAAATTGGTTGGACGGCTTGTTTTAACATTTCGATCATCGCTATCCAGAGACGTGCTGTAATATAAAGTTCTGTGGAAGATAGGGAATGCTCAAGAGGGAGGCTCTTTGGTAATGATTTTTGGAAACGTTTGCTTTTTCTCTAGAAGCGTTTTGGTATCATTACAGTGAGCAAACTTGTTAACATATATACAGATGAATAGATTTCCAACGATTCAAACCGGGTATGGATTTACCGTCTTGCTGAACCCTGAGTGAGCAGCGAAGGTCTGATTGCAACAGGCGACGCAGTTGGATCGTCCGCTTCATAACTCTTGTATTTCGTAAGGGGCGGCCTTGTCGAGTACCGTTTCCTAAAAATTGCTTTTGCAACTGAATTATATTAACGGCTGGAGACAACTCCTCACTGCGCGTCACATAAAATGTATCTGCCCAGTTATTTTCCGTTAGTCGGAAGGGAAATTTTGAGATCCTATTTACAAGGCGATCAATACGTTGTGCAACCTGCATATCTTCAAGCTGCATTTCTATTAAACTGCGCTCATACTTCGCGGCAACGTCTACTAGCAGCCACCAGCATCCACCAGCGACTATGAGTAGAGAGCATGGGAAGTAGGAGCCAAGCCCACTGCTGCTAAGTATGAGGAAGTAGGACGGGCAGACAGCCTTATAATTAGTGTCCGTGATATCTGCGCGTGTGTGCAACTCGCACCCTACTACCACACAATACCGTACTCCTGGACGCTGGTGGACGCGTAGACGCTTGACCGGTATCTATATGTTCCTAGTCCCTCGAGACGCTGATGGTTCCGGATGACACTACACGCTAGATCGATACCCATACTTTCATAGTCCCTCGAGACGCTGATAGTCGCTGGTAGACGCCAGATCGATATCCATATTTTCCTGTCCCTCGAGACGCTGATGGTCGCCTGCGGACGCTGCCGCAAAGTATGAACGCAGCCTTAATCGTGGTCGTTTTTGTATAAATTGATGTTTTGTATGCTCGATGCTTGCTACGCACCGTGGAGATTTAATTAAGCCATCTTGGCCTAGAAAACGTCACGCTGGGGTGCTATATTAGGCAGGTCGTGAGATCAGGCAATAAAGTTCGAAAATATGGCGTCGGGAGGGGTAGTGTGGTCTCGCGAACAACCTTGAACCAGTTTTACTGCGAAAATTGCAAGGGAGGGCCGCTATAGCGCACTACAGGTTCAGTGACGCCTCCTTTTTTCCAGTGACTCCGCCTCCAGACTCCACCTTCGAGGCCCGGCCCTCATTGAAAAACGAACTGCGGGACGGAAAACCATGAAATTGTTACTTGTAAGGTCGTAGACTTTTCGGGAAATCACCTGTGCGGATGAGGGCAAGTGCTGGAGATGGAGTAGATCGGGAACGTACCGTGGGATTGAAACGGGTTCTATTCAGGGCAATTGGCATATTTTTTCTGCTTTTTTCTTCACTGTCGAATTTACTCAGCACCTTCTCATCTATATGCAGTTCCCTAAGCCACTATCTATAATGGCGAATGATCGCGGACTTTGCCTCTAAGTCTCTGGATGGACAAACTAAAGAAGTTACAGAAGGCTAACCGCGTCACAAGCTCACTTCGTTGATCAAATCCGCTCTACAACAGCCTGGAAAGTAAGAAAAAAAGACTGAAAAAGCAGTGTGTTGGAAAAGCTCAACACTGGACGCCTCATTTTTTCTGCAGTGCACTGAAGACAAAGATTTATCATGTGATTTATCATTCTTGATTAGTATGGTCAGCAACAGAATCTCCTATTATATCAAATATCTAGTTGCGTTCTCTAATCTTGGTATTTGAGGTTTTGAGTGGTCCCTGCCCACTGCCACGCCTCTAACTGGTAATACCACGCTTCCCAGTAGCTGCATCTATTCAATGAATTCCATGACAAGCAGTAGTGAAGAATAACAAGTAATAAAAATTAATTGATTAGCCGAACTGTTTGGGAAAAAGACGTCTTAAACAAAAGTTCAGGGGGAGGCAAAGACATTGGCGGTAGCGCCTCCACCACCACCACTGCCGCCGCCAGCACCGCCAAAACCGGGGCAGTATCAATACAAAAAGTGGACAAATTACTAGAAATTAATGTGTATGTGTGTGCTGAAAACTATGTATAGGAAATTATAATCGTAATGATCTATTGATTCTTACCCTCCTTCGCCTTCTTAAATCATGGGGGCTTGCATTACCCCCTGGTAGTCAGCGATTAAGGTTTATTAGTTAAAAGCGTGCAATAACTGGCAATATTCAGTGGACGTGTGTCAGGAGTAGTGGTTGGATAACACTAATGGCGGTTTTCTCGACGGGCGTGAAACACTGCATTATCCAAAACCCTTCCTGTCGCCTACGTGGCACAACACCAAGCTGTGTAGACACTCAGTAATGCACTTTGGGCAAAATGCATCTGCCGTCCTTGTTTTTCTGGGGCCATGTTCTGTGGATTTTAAATTTGTATTCATCTGACCTGCCATTCAAAGTTGAACATCCAATTACAGGGATACAAAGTGCTCAGTTGTCACTAGCATGACTGTGGCCAGTGATCGATGTATATCCCTAAGCATCCACTGACCTCGTCGCTTCAGACGGACTAAAGAAAGTTCACGCTTGTTTTCAGTGAGCGAAGAACAGTTTCTATTGCCCTTCCCCTCTTTCCCCTGTACAATTCTGCACAGTAAACGTCGTGGTATGTGCAACAACTTGTGATCCATGACTGCTGCCTTCATTGCGAAAGCAAAATATGGGATTGGTAGCGCTGATAAGTCAGTTGGCACTCAGACTGTTTTGCACGTCATTATCCCTGTGGCTAGACTCGCTCTCGGACGTGCCTGGACATCCAACATGTTTTTCAAAGCAATCGAGTTGTGTACAATCGCCTTAAGAGATTAATCACCTGCTCGTAATGAATTCTCGAGCTCACGTATCATATAACTCGTCTGTTGTGATCAGTCAAGCAGTAGAGGTGGAAGGCATGATTTGTAGTGATTTCAGTATGTAGTGATTGGTGCCCAGTAGACGCAACGCACATTTTCTATATGACCAGGTTTCTGTGGAGGGATTTGCTTTTACTATGCAGTTGCCTACTCTCGAAGTAAGCAGAATGAGATCATCCACTCAAAGAGACGTCAGGACTTTCCAGTGAAAAACTTGCTTTCTGGTATTAGGTTGTTCGAAAAGTATTAGGTTGTCCCAAAAGTTCGTGAACACTTTTTGAATCACTTTTTGAATATCAAATTTTTCCGCAGCCATTTCGAGATCCAGTTATGTGGTCTAATGGGAAGTGTGTGAGGTAAGCATTCCACAGCTTCTTCATCCGTCCCTCGCAGTCGCTGTTCTCATATGAAAAACGGTAATTGAAATTCATCATTTTCGACACACTTCGCTATATGAATCTCTACCAAGCCACAACGTGGTTGAGCCATAAGCGGTATTTCCCTTATTTAGATCTTGA